GTGTGTGTGTGTGTGTGGCGGCACCCATTACAGACTTCGCCTTCAGTCGGGGCATCTCAATGCGTCATTTCACCTTGTTGAGTTCTGTTCTGCATTAAGCGCAGCCAGATACACATCAGGGAGCACATTCCATCGGCTTATGAAAACACCAAACAAAAGCTCATTACTGCCAAATTCATGAACCGTCAGCACAACTGTCGGTGTGTGGCCAGGTTCACGTTGCTTCAGAGTTTGGTTTAGGTGCAGCGCAGTCTGATTCACACAGACAAATGCGTACGAACAGATCCATGGTCAAAAACACGAATTCTTTTTTAGACACGTAATGTTCCTCCTCAGTTTTTCGGTTCCTCCACACTCCACCAGAGACCCGATGCCTCTGCCTCGTCACTTTAAAGCTCTGGCGTGGGCCGAAACCTCACACTGCCATCTGGGATCAATAGTCCTGTCCTGACTCGTACAAGCAGGCCTGGCATTTTAATATCTGTAATTCAAATAAGTGCTCTGTTTTGTCTCCTTGCAAATCGCCCTCACAGAAACACCCGCTTCGAATGGACAGGCAGCTGCAACATTCCCCTCTGCGCTCATGCGTCGTATTTCATGACGTCGTTTGCCCGTTTCCCTCTCGCTTTCTGTCACTCTTGTGCAGCTAGTCTGCATGCATGGTGGAAAGTTGTTATTCTTTTCAGAATACCTTTCTACCTTCTTCTGTCTTTTTGACTTTAAAGGAAATAATATACAATGTCATATCTCATTTGTTTCTCCTATAAAGCAATGGGATTAAAAACATAAAAATGAAGAATTTGGTAAAGTCTCCTGCTTTTCAGGCTGTTCTTTTGAGAAAAAGACTAAAGTCTCACATGTGTCCCTTCTTGAGTTTTTAGAAGCTATTTCAACAATGTCTCAAACTTAAATGAGACATAACTGAGAACTCAATTATCTGAGCTATACAAATATGGTAAAATTAGTCTCATTTAACCTTATTTTGTATTGCTCCTATACAAGGCATTTTCAGAGAAACATTTAAGACATAATTGATACTCAAATGAGACATAACTGAGAGCATTCGTCTGAGCGATATTATCCAAAATAATTTAATTAATAAATACAACAATTGTCTCATTTGTCAATAAACAATTGTCCTATTTGACCCTATCTGTATTTCTCCCAAGGGATTCTTGAAGAAACATTCGAGACATAGTTGATCCTCAAATGAGACATAACCTATATATTTACCTATATATACTCTGTATTTATTTCTCCCAATGAATTGCTGGAGAAACATCTGACACAGTAGATACATAAATGAGACATAATTGAGAAATCCATTAGCTGAGCTATGCTATCCAAACTAATTTTATAGCTAAGTAATCTTACTGTGTTCATTGTTGTCTAATTTGAGTCTACTATTATTTCTACTAAGGAATTTTATGAGAAACATCTGAGACAGTGTTACTTAAATGAGACATGACACCATCTGATTCATGCAATCCTACTTAATTTTATAGCTTAAAGGGTTAGTTCACCCAAAAATGAAAATTCTGTCATTAATTACTCACCCTCGTGTTGTTCGAAACCCGTAAGACCTCCGTTCATCTTCGGAACACAATTTAAGATATTTTTGATGAGTTCTGAGAGCTCTCTGACCCTCCCATAGACAGCAATGTAACTACCACGTTCAAGGTCCAGAAAAGTACCAAGATGATGGACAAAGTAGTCCGTGTGACATCAGTGGTTCAACTGTAAAGTTACGAAGCTACGAGAATACGCAAAGAAAACAAAAATAACGACTTTATTCCACATTTTCGTCTCTACTGCGTCACTCATGATACTGTCGTGAACGCGCGTCCAAAGTAGTAGACGCAGTAGAGATGAAAATGTGGAATAAAGTCGTTATTTTTGTTTTCTTTGCGTATTCTCGTAGCTTCGTAACTTTACAGTTGAACCACCGATGTCACCCTTTAAGGGGTCATTCACACAGAACATGTTTTTGGGTGGTGGAATGAAAAAAAAAGCAAGCTCTAGAGCACATTTTTCACAAGTTTAACTTTTTAGAAAGCAGTTTCATGGACGAGATATGAGTGAGTGCAACAGTCAAACACGTTCATCTAGCATGTTTCTATAAAAAAACAATTGAAAAGCAGCACAGAGGAGTGAAAAATCCAGTGGAATTCGGTATGAATGGCCCCTTATAGTTTCACTGTACGTCAACAGTTTTTACCCCCAAGGAATGTTAGGAGAAACATCTGAGACAAAGTCGATACTTAAATGAAGAGCTTCATTAAATCTAATGAGCTATGAAAGAGAAACTCAGGTACTCTTCCTTTCTTTTCCTCCGTGAATGGCAGTGGAAAAAGACGTGATCTGTTCTCCCGGACTTCACCATATAGAGAGGTGCATGATGGGGGTTTCCCTGCAGCTGGGTTAATAGTGTTTCAAAGAGCGTCTGGTCTCTCTGACTGAGTTTGACTGTCAGTCTGTAGGGGGCTGCAGGTTTAGCTCTATCAGGGGACCCTCAGACTGAGACATTTATCTGTGCGCTGCATTGACGGACCCCCCTTCCTTGCAGCTAACGCAAACAGCGCTCTGACATGTTTAGACTGAGAGACAAAGCGCAGGTCTGTGGCAGGACCGCTGCTGTCTCCCACGTGGCATGGACTTTCTCTCAGGCCAGGGCAAATTTGATTATGAGATATTTAAGCATGATGGAAAATGGGAAACAAGCCGTTCTTCTTGTTATTTTTTTTTTGGCTTTGGTAAGTCTACACCTCACATAGCTTAACCACCCACCTTACGACCCCCTCCTCCTTCCACTCGACATTCGTCTGGCTCAATAGAAGTCAGTTTCAGAGCGTTGAAGTCAAAGCGACTTTGGAGGAGTGCGCGCAATGATATCATAAGCTGAAAGGTTTGGAAAAAGAGAGGTAGTGGAACGGCGCGGTGCTGATAGCTGCTTTGCAGAACAAGCGTTTTCTCTGGAACTCGGTGGCAATGAGACAAACCATGATGATTGCTCGTGACCTGTCTAGCTCGCTCTGTCTCGCCTCTCTGAAATTAGCCAATTCATCATTGCCATGCTCGCAAGAAACATCTGTCATTAATTGCGAAATCGGTGTGTTTGTCATTCGTGGATCTGTGTTTTCGAGCTCTGGCCAGGCAGGGGAATTACTGCCCAGTCCGAAATGATGGATGGCAACCCAGAGAGCAGCACAGCACTGATATTTGGCAGTCAGATTATGATGAGAGAATTACTGCAATGGACTCTCAGGGTGAAAATAGCTTATTATTTTATCCGGTGTTTTGGGAGGTTAGATGTCATAGTTGTCTCCATTGCCCAAGGACATAAAAACTCATCGCCAGCGGCCATTAGAAATTCGGTCAAGGAATTTCCAAAATGTGCAATGTTGTGCAAAGTTTCCAGAGAGGAAGCTTTTAGTGTATGTGTGTTAGTTCTTGTTTAAGTTGAAAGGTTTTTCAAGCTTAATTCCCAAGTTGATAGAAACTGGATAGGAAAAAGCAAGATGATAGCTTTGAACATGAAAAAGAAACACCGAAATGCAGACAAAAAGACATAAGACAGGAGCCTTCCTTCTGCTAAGGATATTGTTTCAGTCAAAAACAGAAAAAAGGTCATTATAAGAACTAAATATTTTAAAGGGGACATATCATGGTGAAAAAAAAAGTATTTTATTTTTTAAATAAATCAGTTTGATGTACTATGTAGTAGAGCCCGATCGATATATCATTTGCCGATATAATCGGCCGATATTAGCCTGTCGCCGATATATCGGTATCGGCGAATATGTTTGTTAAATGCCCTGTCTCCATTACGTATCTCTGTCATAAGTGTTTCATCACCACATTTGAGTGATCATCGCAAAAAATGTGTTTATGTATATATATTCTGTTTTTGTATATACTGTATTCTATATATAGTACCAGTCAAATGTTTGGACACACGAATGGGAAAGTGTCCAAACTTTTGACTGGTACTGTACTATAATATACACAAAGAATATCGGCCGATATATCGATATCGGCTTTTTTTTACTACCTAATATCAGTATCGGCCCCAAAAAACCCATATCGGTCGGGCTCTACTATGTAGTCACATTAGCATAACATTTACATTGCAGAGATTGTTTGCAAATTCATCCACACAATTTATGAAATTTAAACTGCACAAATGGGTCATTCAGAAATCACACTGTTTAAATTTTTTATATTTTGGTTCTGTTTTCCAGTATAATATCTAAGTATCTTAAATTTACATGAGAAAAGAAAATGGGTATAATAAGATACGAATTCTTATTATCTGAAAACATGTAGAGATATTTCATATATGACAAAAATAACGATTAAGAAAAATAATTTTGCTGTGACCTTTCCTGTTTACATATCAGCAAAAATTTAGTATTCAAAATCAAAGTATTCAAATTGGTGTTTTTACTCATTTTATTTGCAAAGAACTTAGCCAGTAATAACAGATGTTGTTTACATGTAGAGATGTTAAAGGTACAGTAGTAAAATCAGCCTGTTGAATTCAAATCATCAAAACGAGGATGAAAATGGTCATGTAAAACTAAATGAGTACTGTGATTACAGGCCAGAGCAGACGGAGGACGATCAGCCTCAGAGTCACACTCATGCCACCTCAAAACTGGCGGAGGAAGATGAGGAGATGGAGGGAGATGATGAAGATGAGGAAGGCTCGTTGACAGAAAAGTCACAGGACGAGACGGCCTCTCCCGTCACTATGGTGCAGGGCACTTATGACGAGGACGAGGAGCCCACCCCTCTCCCTATGTCTTACGAACACACGCGCAGGTCAGAAAAACACATCTGTCTGTTTACTGGAGAAAGGCTTAAACAGGGCAACTCTATCTAAATGAACACTCAACTATCATACGAGCAAAATATATATTTTACTGCAACATACAAAAAAAAAAGCAATAAAACAATCAAATCAGAAACATTAGGAGGGTCAGTTCTGATCTTATGTTAACTTTAAGAAAGCAGTATGAGCAGTGTAAGCTCATAATGATAATATATTTATATTAATGATAATAGTATTATCATTATTTAAATTTGCAATTTGACTTTTAAATGTTGTGTATATAAACTGTATGTACACTATAGTAAAAAAAATTGCATTATAAAAAAATAATGTTGCTGAAAGAAGTCTCTTATGCTCTCAAGGATGCATTTATTTAATCAAAAATACAGTAAAACAGCAATATGATGATTATATAATTATTATTACAATTTAAAAGAACTGTTTTCTACTGTAATATATTTTTAAATGAATTTATTTGTGTTATTTAGAATTTACATAAAATTAATTTATAATAATAATTTATTCCTGTGATAAATCGTATTCAGCAAGGGTGCATTAAATTGATCAAAAGTGAAAGAAAAGACATTTATAATATTTCTCTTTCAAACAAATGATGTAAATCAAAATACTAAGTGTCATGATTTCCAAACAAATAAAGCAGCACAGCTTTTTTCAACATTGATAATACACTAATAAATGTTTCTTGAGCAGCAAATCAGCATATTAGAGTGATTTCTGAAGGATCATGTGATTTTAAAATATATTAAAATAGTAGTGAGAATTAGATATTTCTTTCAAACAACATCAAATCAAAACAAAAATAATTATTCCAAACTTTTCACTCAATTATAAACTCGTAAAGTTAAATTTTTATAATGCAAAAATTAAGTTTTGGTTGAGTGTTCATTTAAAGGGATGGTTCACCCAAAAATGAAAATGTGATGTTTATCTGCTTACCCCCAGGGCATCCAAGATGTAGGTGACTTTGTTTCTTCAGTAGAACACAAACAAAGATGTTTAACACAAACCGTTGCAGTCTGTCAGTCTTATAATGGAAGTGAATGGGAATCACGGCTTTGAGAGTCAAAAAAATATACACAAGCAAAACCAAATTAAACCTCTAATTAAACTCCTAATTGAGATTGTAGATAGAGTGTCATTAGGGCCTTTCGCACCGCTTTAGTTCCAGAACTAAATGTACAGTACTAAAGTACTGGGACGATTTTGCGCGAACTATTTCCCAGTACCATTTAAAGGGTTGCATTCGCGCCGACAGTGTGTACTAAGAAGTGACGTAAGCCGGTCGACAGCGACGTCATTTGTGCGCGGCGTTCAACAACAGAAACAAAGAAAAACAACATTAACAACAGGAGGATGGAGGACGCAGTGATCGGAACTGTGTTTTTGTTGTTTCTCACGGGTTTCACAATAATGGACATGGAAAGTCGACGTATACGTAAAGCGATTGAAAGAACGGAAAGGAGGACTAAGAATCTACAACGACAACTGGCAGTGCTACATTTGCTACAAGTGCCTGCACTTCAGCGTCCGTCCATCTATCGCTGTTCTCCATACTTGCGAAATAAGTTGACACAAAGTTTACAGTGTTTACACGGCGTTTTAAATAATGGCGGGTGAGGGCGTTTTCATACGCGTTTGGCCAATCAATGTCTACTTACGTCACGATTAGTACCAGTTGTGCTGGTTAGACCCTGCTCCGGAGTAGGAGCTAATTTGGTTCTCGAAAAAGGCAGTCCGGTACTAAAATCGCACCCAGTTCCGGCGGTGCGAAAACGCCAAAAAGTGGGTAGTTCCACAATTAGTTCTGGTACTATGAAAAGGTTCCCGCGTTGCGAAAGGCCCTAATGGTCCATTTGAGAGATAGGTGGCTCAAGACAGTTCGGACATTGACGGTGAATCAGAGGTAAAAAACGATATAAATACTGTTCAGTTTCTTGCACAGACCAATCGTTTCGTGTCTTTACACATCAATGTATCGTAACGAGCCGCAGGGTTTAATTTGGTTTTGTTTGTGTAAGTTTTTTTGACTCTCGTCACGGGTAGTACGAGTTGTGCAGGTTAGACCCTGCTCCGGAGTAGGAGCTAATTTGGTTCTCGAAAAAGGCAGTCCGGTACTAAAATCGCACCCAGTTCCGGCGGTGCGAAAACGCCAAAAAGTGGGTAGTTCCACAATTAGTTCTGGTACTATGAAAAGGTTCCCGCGGTGCGAAAGGCCCTCCGGTACAGGTGTATTGAGGAGGATGCAGGCCTGTTAGATCTGGATCCTCTGCCTGGTTTCCCCAAAGGCCTGGAGTTCCATAAGGCTGGCGAGGAGCCCTATGACATTAAAGACATTTTTAGCACCTCGGTAGAGTCGGAGGCGCTGAAAGAAACACTTTTCAGGCAGGCTAAAACACAGGTATGTGAATGTACCTGCTCCAGAGAGCTGCTACTATGCCATGAGCCCACATCTGCTGTACGTAGTCACGCAAACGTCAAGAGAAGGAAAGACAGTCGAAGACCATCTTATGAATATGGACACATATTGGGGGGAGTTATTTTTAGTTTTGTCTTTACAAAAGACAAAATAAAATAAAATGGCATATTTTGAGAACAAGTATAGTTTAAGTATACTATAATGAACAATAATAGATTTAGTTATTTTAGTGTATTTATATACACAGACACTAAAATATGTACACACTAAAATAGCAATCTGTTATTATGCATGCAGAAATTATGCTAAAATAAAATGTATTATATTTATGGGAAGGTACTTTTTTGTAGAAATTTACAATTTTTGAATGAAAAGGTTGGGAATTCCTGCAATAATTGATGTGGGGAAAATGTTAATAAAACTGCAGCTTTCTTTCTACCTAATCATTG